TGTGCAAACTCTTTCTATGAATGAGCCTGGTAGTGTGGCAGTTTGCTGCCACTTTGGTCTATACATCAGAAGGACATCAGGAGGGAGTCCGGCAGAAGAAGAATGCAATATTCCATCTGTACGAATAAAGCATTTTCATTAAGATCATGTTCCTATTTTTCTTGTATTTGAGGCAACTAACAGAAGACACAAGCATTACCACTCTAAAATCCTTTTTGATAAAGAGGGACAAATACTGAGCTTCTCAGCAAGAAGAAAATGTCCATAGTTCTTGGTGCTTCTGATTACTAAGTGCTTGTGGCAAAACATCATTTTATAATTTATACTAAGTTAACAGAGTTCAGTGTTGTCCCTGCAAGTAAAATTGGAAATTTGTAATGACATGCATCTTAGTATTTCAGGATTTCTGATTCATAATACTGTTTAAAATGTAAAGCCCTCCCTGCTAGACAGTATTCTTGATAGCCACATAACTGTTGCTGAAGTCTCTGTGGCATAGGTGACCTGGTTGATGCTAGGATATTAAAAGATGATCAGAGTCCATATTCTATTTCTGCTGACTTTGAACTCTAGCTAAGCACATAAGCTTTTGTGGTTTGGAGATAGCAAACTGCATTTCAGCTAAACTTCCTTTCTGAGGGTTTGATGTGTAATAGCTGACTGTTAGGTTATACCAAAAGTAACTTGAGGAGACAAAAATCTAAAAATACAATGCTGAGATGGTAGAATATTCTGCTGCGTTGCCACTACCAATCTGTCTTTAATTCAGTCCACCACAATCCCAACAGGTATCTAGTGCTCTAAAATACAAAGACAGACCATTGTTTTCTATGGAAAAGGTGGCTAACTGAGAGGGGGCGAGGGGAAACAGCAAAGAAACTTTTGCTGAAAAGGTTAAAGTAGTGATCTTTGTAGAGTTCTGTATGCCACTGCAAAAAATATTTGGAAGGCAGCTAATACTGATTTTTAAAGGAAAAGTAGAGATTGCTTCTGTCTTCAGTTTAGCTATACCAAAGTCCAGTCAGTACAGTGGCTGTAGTAATTTTGCCAAGGGGATGAGATTATCTGTGTTGTAGAGTAGTATGTGTTTGGTTTGCTACAAATATGCTGTATGTTCCCTAAGGTAATTTGATTTACATCGTTACAACTTTAAAATCTGATTAAATGGATTGCTGCTTAAATTCTATAGTACTGTGTAGCGATTGATCTATTACCCAAGCCTGTGTTTTTATAAGCGGTAAAATCCTTTTTTTTTTTTTTTTTTAAAACTCTTGTATGTGTATGTATATCTCATCCTTTTTTTTTTTTTTCCCTTTTATCAGAATCCAGCAGGCTAAAGTACAAATCCTTCCTGAGCGAGTGCTGCCTTCAACAATGTCAGCAATACAGCTGCAGTCTCTCAGCCGATGCCATATATTTCCTTCTGCGAAACCTACAGCGTGGCAGGACCGAGCTATACATCAATGGTGGCAGAAATACCAAAAGGTTAGAAGCTAGTTGTGTGTGTTTGGTCCTTTTTTTTTTTTTAATTTCTGATGGTATTTTGAAAATCAATATAAAAATCCATCTCTTCATCTCTAGATGAAGATGCACAATTGGGATGCCAGATGCCAACCTCCTCCTTTTGTCACATATTGTGGGGTTGTTTATCTGCTGTCAGCAGTGGGGAAATACATGATTTGTATTATGAGTTCTCTTTGGTTTTCATCACAGTATTATTAGATTAGTGTTATTACATAATAGTTGATGTAACATTACAATTTTTTTTAGATAATCAAAACACTAGAGAGAGTGCTGGTCGGTAAAGCTTGTGGATGGTGAAGTGTTGGTGGGGAAAACCAGTAAGTTTATAGAATTTAACTTATGGGCAGGTCAAAGAAGCATCTTGACTTTTACTGATGTTACTTTGACAATAAAATATTGGCAATCAGTGTTGACAGTGCCAGTGCTCTTGCTTTGTACTTGCCTTAATGGCTTGTTTTTGAAAGTAGCGAATCTTCTGTAACTATTTCTCTAACTTTGATTCAGCTAGAAGAGGTTTCTAAAGAGCAGAGGTTGTTTAGAGGTAACTCCCAAATTTCAGTGATGAAACAGAAGACCTGTAATGTCTTAGTTTAGAATCACAATTCTGTTTGCTAATTTTGTTTAAAACCTGCATCAGCTAAAGGATGAACTTCTGTACCTGCAGTTACTTGCTTACAGAAAATGTATATCTGCTTTTTTAACAAGTATGCAGACTTTATACTTCTTTAGAGAACTTCCAGAATTTTAACTGCTTGACTCAATTTTTCAAAAAAAAAACCCAACAACAAAACAAAACCACAAACAAACCAAAAAACCCCACTCTGAACAACAATAGACGAGAAATAATCATTATCAAGATGTTGGTATTGCCGTTAGGGAATTAGCTTCTGCTTTTGCTTCACTGGCACAAATTCTGTCTTTGCTTGTTTACACTGGTTTTGCATGACTGCAGCTGCGACAGTACTTGGAATCAGAGGGGAATTCACACTAAGATTGTAGGGCAGAATTTTCAAGAGTCCTAAGTGGCTGATGCCAGGCCTAAGCTACAAACTTCTGCATTGCTCAGGGGAATAATAAGGTGTGATTTGTGCTAGAGACAGCTGTGCTGTTTAAAAGGTGCTAAAAGATGCATTTATACAAGTGAGTGTACACTTTTACCAGTGTGCAGCATTTTCCTTTAGGAGTCTGAAATAAAATGTACTGTCAAAAGGATAATTTTGCTGGGATAAATTATGTTCCCATAATAAGCACCATCCTAGTGTATCGTACTACATAGTTATACCAGCAAAAGCCTTTTGAGTGTAAACCTAGCTCATTCTCAGGCACAGTGCGGGCTTTTCAAAGACCGCCTGTCATTAACAGTGGACAAACATGCACAGTGAGTTAACGGGACAAGAGTTAGCACTGAGGTCAGTAGGAGAGGATGTGGTGAAACAGGGCAATCTGACACTTTTGAAAAAACTAAAATTGTGGCTTATTTATTTATTATTGAACCCACCGTTTCAATCAGTGGCACATAAAAAGAAAGATACCTTGAAGTCTTCTGTATCAGTAGAGATCTTTGGAACTACCACCAGAATAGAATCCTAGTAACTCCTCATTTTCAGATGCAGTTGAAGTTCGTTTTCTGGGTTTTTTTTTCTTCAATGGTTTTAAACTCTGTGCTCCCCCCCAGAAAAAAACCCAAACCAAAGGAAAAAACCCACATTAATAACAAAGACCTATTGATGCTCAGAGTTCTTGAACAACCTCATCTGTGATTTAACAAGCCCAGAAACACTATGCTTTGGGGAGTGGAAATCCCTTTCGAAACTCATCTGGTAGGTAGGTGAAATGCAGTGCACCTGCTGTAAGAAGATGTTTTGTGGACTGAGATGCAGATCCAGAGTAGGGGCATTGTCCTGTTGACCTCCGGTGCGCTATTGATGTCAGTAGAATTGTGACTGTTTCCAATATGATAGGCTCTGTGTGCTTACTAATATAATGAGAAACATCAGAAAATGCTATACCTCTGTGTGCTTACTAATAAAATGAGAAACATCAGAAAATGGAAGTTGCATTTTAAGAACAGTTTCTGCTGCAGACAAGAACTGACCCTGTGTCAGCTGTTACACAAAATATACTTGCTAATTAGAACAGGAACTTGAGTTTTGGTGTTCCTGAGTACTTTCATTGAAGAACCATGTATTTGCTGTGGATTTTAGTCTCTATTGCCTGATTTTTCTCATTTGTAACATAAGGATAGTTGCCCTCAAAGGGAAAATTAAAATTTGATTTGTAAGTATTTGAGTACAGGAGTACAATTTGAGATCCTCTTTTGGAAAGCAACGTGATTATGTAGTATACTGCTTTTTAGATTTTTATTAACCTAAACCTATAAATTTAAGTGTTCTGAAGTCACTGGAGAATTGGTTAACTAAGCAAATATCCTTACACTGCTGGAAATGTGGTGGTTAAGGAATGCAGCTATAATCTAGGGTTTCTTGTCTGCAAGATACGCACAAGCTACATACAAGCTGACGATTTAGAGGTGATATTGGTGGCTACTTGTATTTTGTTCCTCCAGATCTGCTCTGTATTGTTGCATAGACATTTTCGTACACAACAGGTTAGTCATGTTCACAGGGAAGTATGATACAGTAGCATGGGCCATTCCTATTAGTAAAATTTTTATTTGAAAGAATGCCCTTCAACAAAAAATAGTTATGAGACCTCCAGGGGATTTTTCTTTCTCTTCTTGTTGTTTTCCTCCTCTGCATTTGTCTCTTACTCAGTGTTCCGTTTGGGTCTGAATTTTTCTTCATAGGGTGTTGTTAAATGGATATTGTACAATATTTTGTTCACTGTCTTTGGATAGTTATAATAAAGCTGTTTAGTAGCTTTTCAGTGGGCTGGCCAAGCATTGATGCTTTGTAAGCATTTCTGAATATGGGAATTCCATTAAAAACAGATACCAGAATGAGGGTGGATAGCAATGTATGATTAGACATCAAGACTGCCCACGTTTTCTTAATCAGTAATTGTTTGGCTGTGAGAAGGCATCCTCTGGAACTCCTAACTCGCCTGTTGGTATTTTTAGTGATGTTTTTAACAGATTAGTTTTCCATTTAAAAAATAGCATCATATATCCTTTGGATTTATATATGTCGGCTTAAAATACCTGATATGGCCCATTAATCTCCTCCGTTTTATTTATTTATGCATTTGGCTAAATTGATATGAATAGTCAACTTACATAGTTGTTTGCCGTGGTTGCTGAAGTAGCAACAATTGGTGGAGACTAAGGAACAGAAGCACTACCTAATAGTACTTAAATTTGTTTGAACTGTCTAAAATTCATATAGATGATCTTTTGAAAGGCATAATTTCTTATTACTAAACATTATAAATACTTTTAATGCTGAGACAGGTTTTCTGAGAAAATCCAAATATTTTCTGTCTTGTACAGAAGTCTTGGCTCTCAGTGCATTTGAGAAGTGGTTTGGAAGCTTCACATTGAAGTACCGGTCCTGATGGTGATAATTCGTTGTGTCTTTAAATAATCAGATCTCTCTCCTCTGTTTTATTTGTTTGAATAAGAACTGTCCCTAAAATCTGCTAATGTTAAAGAATATTTGTGCTTTTGGTTTTAGAGGAAGTTCCACTGTGCAAGTTTGACATCTTGGCCTCCCTGGCTCTACTCTCTCTATGACGCTGTAAGTTCATCTTATGTATTACCAAATAATCTACAATTAGTTTTGTATGTTTTAATGTCTGATTATTGGATAATGTGAAAGCTTTAATTTTGTTGGCTCGTAAGTTACATTTTAAAGAAGTGTATAGTTTTCACTTTACTGTGAAAAGAGCAGGAAGGGCTTCCCCCTCTGTCTAGTTGTTCCCTCGTGCAAGAGTGTGTCTGAGGTGGATAACAGAGGTTCGGTTCCTGCTGGGTTGTCTCAGGGCAAAAACTCGACCCTCTGTCCCACATGCTCTAGGTGAGTGTCCTAACCACTGAGGTGCTGGATAGTCTTAGGCCTGTCTTTCCTGTTGGAGTTGGTTTACTCTTTAAAAAGTATATAATTCTCTATCTTCATATGTATATTAGTACATAAAGTAATGGGTGTAAGAGAGGCAGAAGCAGGGAGGAGGCTAGCTCTCATCTTGTTTGTACAGTTCTAGAATTCAAACGGTTGTCTCCTTATCTCAAATGAATGTTACAGCCTCCATGAGCCATTGGTTCATTTTGGCCCCTTTCCCATGCTATTTTGCTCTTAGTTTGAAATACATATATAAAAAATGAGTCTGTAATTATTTTAAGTCTTAAAAGCTAATGTCCACTTAGGGAAAATAGCTTACTCTACATTTTGCTTCCCTTTTTTTTTTTTTTTTTTCCCCTAAGAAAACAGAAATACCAATGTATTTAAATTAGGCTTTTCTTCTAACAAAAGGAAACCTTGATGGAAAGAGTCAAGAGACAGCTACATGAATGGGATGAAAATCTTAAAGATGAATCTCTTCCAACAAATCCAATAGGTATGATGTTGTTGAGCTTATGAACTCAAATTTGGTTTTGGGGTATTTTTTTTAAGTTCTTAAGAAAGCAAGGTTTAGATAATTACCTTTTATTGGTAGTCCATCCCTCGCTTCCAGTTTGCAACAAATTTGTATTAGACAATGTTCTCCAGGGGTCTGTTCTGGTTTTAGAATACATTACCATTCAGTCTCCAGCACGAGTGACATTTAAATGCAGATTAGAAAAATATCTTAGACAAGGTTTTATGTGTTACGTGTCCATGATCCAGCCTTAGGGCAGAAAGATGTACTGAGATGACCTCTCAAAGTCTACTAAGAACTTAAGTTTTAGCACTATATCTGTAACTGAGTAGAAGGTAGATTTTAATTCTCTCTCAGATTCTAACAAGACTGGTATTTTCTCATTCCTAGATTTTTCTTACAGAGTTGCTGCTTGCCTGCCAATTGATGATGCATTACGTATACAGTTGCTTAAAATAGGTAGTGCTGTTCAGCGACTCCGGTGTGAATTAGATATTATGAACAAAGTGAGTATTTTTTTCTACAGTTGTTATTAAATTGTTCTTACAAAAGGAAACAGAAGTGACTGTTACAATCTATAACAAAAATGTGTGAAACTTCCAAATGATACTTCTAGAGAGTGAATTTGGGTGTTCTTTTATTTCTTCTTTCCCCTCTAAAAATTTGCTCAAGAAAGAAAATGCTGTCTATCCATACTAGACTTTTATGTTTGACAGCAAGCAAGAAACATATGATAATATGTGCTTTTGTTAGTGCTGTGAGGTGCTGAAATATGATTTCTGTCTTAGCCAAGAGATGGTGCTAGAAGTCCAGTGTTGCTTGTGTAACCATCTTATGAACATTGTAATCCCGTATTGACAGTATTGTACACTGCAATCAAGTAGTATTGTGCCATGAAAACATCTAGATTTTGTAACAAAAGGTAATTCTTTGTAGTATTGAGCATAAATCTAAGTATTGGACTGAAAGGATTTTTGCCAAAAATGTGCATTGACTTGTTAGGCAAGACCTTTTTAAGATGTTCAAAAACTTGTCTTCCCTTCCCTTCTTTCCATTGCCATGGCCATGCGATGCTCTGAACGCAGGACACATTGAAGTTTTATTTTTACATAGTACATTTCTTTATAATAGAATCATAGAATGGTTTAGGTTGGAATGGACCTTAAAGATCATCTAATTCCAACTCCCTTTCTTAATAATAGGATCTACTATGAGTAATATTATACATTATAATTTGTAATGCAACTGAGTATCAGTCAATCTGGTGTTGAATCCCACAGTTTTAGGAACAGTATTTGCAACAACGTCTCTAACAGCAGTTCAGATTGCTGTTCTCTTTCCAAAGGGAAAATGCTGGAAAGGGCAGTTGGTATAAATATAAGTTTTAACTGTAAACTTGTTTACATGTTTGATAGTGGTAGCTGGAATATTTAGTATTCCATTCTGGAATGGAGAGACAAATGAATATTTTGTTACTACATTCATATGACAAAGAATAGCTGTATATGCCCTGACTGACCCTCACCTTGCTGGTTGTAAGCTTGCTGGGGATACCAAAGTACTGTCCCAAACATTAGTATAACATAACCCCAGCCACTGTTGTGTTTGTCTACTGGAGACAGAGCAGTGGAAACTTTCCCTGTTTGCCTAAAAAGTACTGTTTATTTCTGGGGAAAAGAGAACCAGAATATCATTTTAATACTGCGCCTCTTCCCAAAGTTCATGCACCAAGAATCTAAAAGGCAATGTACAGAGAAAAGGAGACAGAAAACATCCCTTCCAAATTCTGAGGCAAAAATGGACAGGAGGTTTGTGTGAGGCTCTGTAATCAGATTAAACTTCATTTGTACTTCCTGAGTCAGAAACTGAATATATGCGGATATTCAGGTACTACTAAGAACTGTTCATGTTCAGTACATTGTATATTTCAGTGCATTGTATATAAATCCCAGAGAAACAAGAAGGCTTAAGTTAACCTCATAAAATATAAGGTAAAGTTGATTTTTAGCTTACACCAAAAAGGTGTGTTCTTGATCAACACGTGACATTTTATTCTCTAAATGTGTTTAACTGTTTTATATTAATGTGAGAATGGTAAGTGCATTGTGTTTTTTTTACAATTTCTAGTGACGTTTATGTTGGTCAAATCCACTCTTTTTAAGCCAGGGTTCTTTAACAAGAAGGGGTGCTGTGGCAACATAGCCTATATTTTGGATTACTTGAGAGGATGGACTTAACACGTTTCATTGTTCAGAATGTAACTTACAGTAATAGAAGTGATTGTTAAGACCTGGTCCACTGTCTTTTGTCTCTAATATCAGTGAATTGCATTGTACTCTTAAATAGCTTTTCCTGTTATTAAAGACCGTTAGCTGTTTCTGTGCTTATTTTTAAAGTGATATACATCACTCACAAGTGTAACACTTCAGTGAGTTCCAGTTGAGAGTGCTAATTGTAGTAATTAGATAGGTTTGGAAATGGAGGGATAGAATTTAGTAGCTGTATAAATTGGATTCTGAGATGCGTATGTGAGCGTTAGATTATAATCTGTGAGTAAGGGCGATTTAAAAGAGTGCGCTATAGTAGGCGTTACAGGTCCCTGGTAGGAGAGAAAGGCTGAGTGAGCTTCAAGAAGGGAAGTGAATTGATGTATGATAAATAGCGTCTGTATAGTAGAGCAGTTTTCCTCCCTCAGTCTCCAAGATCAGTAGACAGTGTGTTGCAAGTGTGGGGCAGAAGTGCTGTCGTCTGCGAGAAAGGAGCTGGAGGAAGGTGAAATGCAGCAACAAGCCCGGAGCGCCTGAATAGAGGAGAGAGCAAAGGCTGACGTGAGCCTGTGGAGTGTCACACGAGTGGAGCGCGGGAGTCGGGACTCGGGGAGACTCAGAAGCACAGGCTGTGATGTACTCCGGCTTTTACACTCACACAGGGACTTGTCCGAGGGAAGATCCTAGGCGCAGCATTTTGTTCCAGAATGTGGGGGGTAGTTTTGGGGGTAATTTCACATGCATTACTCTTAAAAAGAGGTAGAAGTAATGCACCTCCTGAAAATTAATGGCAGTGTTCTACTAAGGTGATTTAAATGCTTATTTTCTGGGCGATGTCAGCGGTGAATTGTTTCGTTCTACCTTCTAGAAGTTGTAGAAGATAGATTAATCTGTTACAATCTTTAGGAGAAAGATCAATATTGCATACTTTTTTGTGAGGAAATTAAAACCATTGATCTACAATACTCTCAAATTTTATAAAGACTTGATGATTGCATTTGTACTCATCTACCTTTTCTGTGTTGTATTTTAGAAGAGCAAAGGTTTTTTTTCTAAATTAGCTTTTAGAGACCTTAGAGGGTTGGCTCATTTATTATCTTTGTGTAGTCAGATCCTCTTTTGTGTGTAGAATTGTTGGGGGGGGGAGGTGTATGAAAATTGTTTTGTCTTTTAGATAACAATTAATGTTTATTGTAAATAAGTAAAATGCATAGAAAAAAATTATCCTTTGATAGAAAGAGAAAACATAAGTGACTGCTGCCCAAATAAACAAAAGAATTGGTACAAAGTGTTCTGAGGGAAGTTTTTATTATTTACCAGTGTGCTGACAAGCATCTGGAAATGAATGAAATTACCCTCTTTGTTTTTCTTTTCCAGTGTACATCTCTTTGTTGTAAGCAATGCCAAGATACAGAAATAACTACCAAGAATGAAATATTCAGGTGAGTGTGTTGCTCTTAATCTTTGGGAGGTTCTTGATCAGAAACATTAGCCAGGCAAAACAGATTCAGCTACATTGTGTCTTACAACCACTGTGTTTTCCACAACTCTAATAAAATTTAAGTAAATATTTATAGGGAATTTTCTTCATAAGACAAAACAGGTTACTTGAGCTTTTTTCAATTAAAAGTTAGTAGATCTGAACATCACCGTGTCTATTGTAACGGAAGTTAGTGTGAAAGGCCCGTGTTACGCCACCTAGTCCGACGCCTTGCCACTGAAGAATTGTACACTGCGGTGAGTTTTGAAATATAAATTTGCCACGTAGGAATTTTTGCCCTATTATTTCTGAATAAAGTGCGTTAGGTCCCAAAGTGTAATTCTCAGTGCTTCATCCTGACGTCGGCGTGTCAACAGGCTTCAACAGCAGCTTAAAATGCACTAATTGGATGGTATAGATAGGCTCCCAGGATGTGGTCGTGCAAGCAAATTGCCTATTTATATCTTTAAGCATTGTGGTGCCTTTTTTATTTTAATAATACAGGCTTTAATCCTAACAACTGCACTAGGTAGTATGTTCTCATTATATATTTGACCTATATAATATCTTCCATGTACAGTGATGATAAGATTATACATTTTCCAAATAATTGTTGCTTCTGGCAGTCTTGTCACCATTTTAATCTTGAATAACTCATATCTGTCCATCACCTGTGATAACGTGAAGGTTAAAAGATGTCTCGGTTTAACAAAGCAAGACTCCCCACAGTTTTCCTTTATCAATGTGATAAGAAGCTGATGTGGTAATTAAAAGCCATTTCTTATCTTCTAATCAAATAATGGATTCCAGAAACGATGGTTCCTGCTGCGTTGATATGATACAGTTTAACAGAATGATGAGAAGTTAGTGTAATGAATTAACATTTTTACTTACTTTAAAAGTTAGATTTAAAAGTAGCGATATAGATGTTACTTGGGTTTATTGGAAGTTGCTATTCGAAAGCAGCAAGTAAACCAAATTATGAGTCTATCGTATACCCTTTTTTATACTGAGCTGTAGGTTTTTGAGGGAAAGGTTAATAGCTGCCTTAAATGAGGTGGTTTCCGTAGCATCCTGTCAGCGATGCTCTGAGTAACTTGTCCCCTTTAACACACAGCTGGGTGAGGTTTGTCTGACCACAAGAATGGTTTAATCCTTACTTGTGATAATATTTTTTTAAATACCTTTTCTGAAGTAGGGAATTAATAAGTAGGTAAGAGGAATAATTTATGTCAGTGAGGAACGTGCCAGATTTATAACACTGGACACTTAAATTTCTGCAATGCTAAGAAAATGTGACCAATGATATTTTACGTTAGTATCTATTTTCGTTCCGGTTTTAATAATATAATTAAAGGTACTTTTTTTCTACAGTCTAAAGTGGTTCTTTTGTTATGGAAAATAGTTTTAGGCATGGTTGGCAGTATTTCCTCTCTTTACGTTTGACAGCCATTGTTTTTTTTTGTTTCTTCCTTGAACTCTGACAAAATTGTTAATTGCCTGTTGTAGTTTATCCTTATGTGGACCCATGGCAGCATACGTGAATCCTCACGGGTACATCCATGAAACCCTTACTGTATATAAAGCCTGCAACTTGAATCTCAGTGGACGACCATCAACAGAGCACAGCTGGTTTCCTGGGTAATAACAGTTACAAGAAATGTTATTAGCGAATGATAGAAATTTGGTTGTAAATGTATTCCTGTGATGGTGGAATAGTAAATACTTTTTTTTTTTTTTTGAAACATACATTACCATTTCACTCCTGTGAAAACTAGGAAAGTAAATTTAGACTTTCTCAAGATACAGAACAAAATGGAAAATTCAGATAGAATGTTTTCAGAATTTATTTTTTTAAAAATGTGGAAGTCTTAAGACTTTAAAACATAGTCTAGCAACTGAGAGCTATAAACAGGAGACTGACTGTCTGGGAGTTTGTTAGTTCTGTATAAGCTGCAACTAAATTCATAATTGTTGTTTCCATGCAGCGTTCTTTGATCATACAGTAATACAGTGCAATTGAAAAACAGAATATATAAATGCAGTTAAGATACTGAAATACTTCTTAAGATCTAAAAACTGAGTAAATGTTACTTGAATTTAAAAATTATTAACTTTTGTATTAATCTGATTACCTTTGGGTGGGGTTTTTTTGTTTTGTTTTTAATTACTCTGTCTCTCTGAAACAATAGCAGAATGAACTGTCAAGATGTAGAAGTTTGCCTAATAATGAAAGGTCTTGCATCAAAATGTCACCCCTCTCTGGTAGCTTTAATTTTTGTGGCTAAATAAGCATTCTTCAGGTGCTCATTCAAAACTTTTAATATTTCATTCTTAAAAATACCTGAAATGGCAAACTATATTTGAATTTCAGTTTTACAAAAAATATTCTTTAAATATATTTTCACCAAATCAGTCTTCTGCGTTGTCCTTTCTGTGCCAGTGTCAAAAATCATTCTTCTGTCCCTCTGGCTATGTCTTCTAAAGCAGCGTAAAATAATATGTTGTTATACCTGTAGCCAGTCCGAGGTTCTTGTCTAACACGTGTACACATATACTCTTCCATTTTCTGGTGTTCATTTTGGCTTTTTTCTGGATTATGGCACAGCACTGAGTAATGACTTGGCGGGTGCATGGCATATCTGTCCCAAGTCATGCATGCTTTAAGAATCCCTGAAGAAAACTTGTGGCATATAATATCTGGAGTTAATTTTTCTCATCCTTATGTGTTTTCTTAGCTGTTTTCTTCTATGAGGTTTTGAAATTTTCATGTCCTGCCTTTTCAAACTGTTAAAGAAAGCTCCATTTATCTGGAAAGTGCAGTTTCCTGTTAATCTAGGAGCAGTGCAAAAATCACTTTTATTTCTGTTAAGTAACTTACTGGGAGAACCATTTTCTGACTCTTCTTCAAGGCGCGCAGCATTTCATCATACTGCTGAAATGTTGTGCTAGTAAAATGCTTTAGTTGCTTTCTCTATTTGAAGAAAGATTTTTAATTTTTTTTTTTTTTTTAAGATCTGCAGGGTTTTTAGATAGGAGCTGGGCACCTTGGTTGCCAAAGATTCTTTGAAAATCTAGCTTGAGACTAGTATTACCTTCTTACCTGAGGAGTGAGCTGTGTTCCGGTATGCCTAAAATGTCTTTTCCTTACATGGTAGCATCAACCTTTTGTTGTGTTTTTGGTAGGTATGCCTGGACTATAGCCCAGTGCAGAATCTGCGGGAACCATATGGGATGGAAGTTCACGGCTACCAAAAAGGATATGTCGCCTCAGAAATTCTGGGGGTTGACCCGGTCTGCTCTCCTGCCTCGGATTCCAGAAACAGAGGAAGACTCAGGCCACGATAGATCACCGTTACTCTGCCTGTAATCTAGCAACCTGCTTTGGGGATGAACAGGCAGCGGTCTGTCCCGTAAATGCATCTGCTCAGTTCTGCTTCTGATGCTTACTTCAACTTAAAAAACCCCAAGGACCCACACCCGCACACAAAAAACCAGCCAAACAAGCAGGCTCACTACATTCGGGTTTGGTGTGCATCCACATTACTGTTGTTTCAGACGCGCTGAGAGCTGAAGGTTGAATCTTTAAAGTGGCAGCTGAGGAGAGGAGGTGGCATGAGACACCAAGAAATCAATCTGATCCATGTGGACAGGCTTGAGACTGAACTTTCTCCTTCCTTGTATAATCTTAGACAATGTTTACTGCTAACAACTTGCAGTGAAAGAAGGTAGGGGGAAACTAAAATTACAGATAAACAAGAGTTAATTTATGCAATATATGTATGATGGTAGATACCAGTTACTTGCTGCGGAGTATCTTCCATATTGTACTTAAAAATGTTTTTGCTGAGAATCCCTGTTTCTAACCATGTGGAGTACTTCACATTTTATGCTTGTGCTGTTTCTCAGAGTTTCGCTGAATAATAACTATGGGAGTACGAGATGGAATTATCTCTCCTGGCTGATACCGCGTTGGTAATGGCAGTGGCAGTGCTGTAACGGGACTACGTGAGCTTCCTGCTCCCTGCAGCCTGAACAGTTGCGTTACAGGGTGCACTTTGAAAGGAACCCCTGTGAAGTATTTGGTCTTTACAAGTCGTCTGATCTATTTGGTCTATTTGACTTTAGAAGTCTTAAATTTTAAACTATTTTTATGAAATATACAGGCCAATCCCAGAACGTAAACTACGTTGTCATTTAATGTTGAATGTGCTTATAGTTACTTTTCAAAATTATTTCTGTGGAGATCAGTTTACCAGCATACGTGTCCAGGGTTCTGTGAAGTGCTCTCTAAAATACGTAACTATGGCGATTTTTCAGTAGTATTTATTTGGACAAGGGGGAGGCAGCGTCTCTTTAATTTTGTTTCTTTTACACTTTCATATCATAAAATTTCACATTACCATTCTTACCATTCAAAGAGCAAAAGTTTCTGAATAAAACAGAAATAAGAGGCAGAGCTTTTTTTTGTTGTTGTTGTCTGAAGTGCTGTCTGTGCTGCAGAAATCGGGTGCCAAAATGAGGCAGCTTTTGCCACTGATTTATTGGGGTTTTTTTCCCCTCAGAATGCACCTTGGTGATGGAAACTGAAGATTTCTTTAATATGTGTACATACACACTTTTTTTTTTTTTTCCTCATTTGAAGCTTTACCATTCGCTCTTTATTTCTTCACAGTAAATCTTTGAGAACTTGTATTGTTAAATATAATGACACAAAATCCTAAGATTTAGGACATCAGCCGCTACACGCTCGTTCCCAGTCTTCTGGGAGCACTGCGGTGAGCGGCCGGGTCAGACCTCTCTACGGGGAGTGGGGTTAAATGGCAGTGGGGGACCTGCTGCCGTGCGGCTGGAAAAAATTCCCCCATGTGAGAAGATGCTCCATGCTGCAAGGCCACTGGGGTAGTTTGTTGCGCTAGGTATGTAGAAACTAACGATTGTGTAACTCGGGTTTAGTTGTGTGAAGCCTTCTACCTCTGTGCTTCTGTGATAACTTTTGTTCTCTCCATAGGCATCTTTAATACCGTATTTAATTTTCTGTGCAGCGCTCTGACTTGCCAGTGAACTGTGAAAAGCAATACTTTGTTGACTATCATTCTGAACAAACAGAGGGTGAATGATGGCTCATTTTCTGTGAGAAAACATTCTGTGTTCTGATCATGTTTCTGTAACGAGCTTTCAAAAGGCTGAAGTGATAAGCACTAGTGTGAGAGTGAGACTGTGAAACCTCTGTACTTGGCTAACCACTGAAATCATGCTTCGCTTTCCCCTCACGCCCTGCACACGCGCACGTGTGCACACACACCCACACCCCCTCCTTAGCTGTAGACTCGGTTTATTTTTTTTCCCTCCAGCATACCTAGTATCTCTTCTTGCTGTTGCCCTCAGCAGGGCTTGCGGGTGGCAAGAAGTTTGAGGGTGCTTTGAAAGTACCTTCTGCTGCCGTTCCGTCTAAGTATTCGCTGAGGGATGGGGAGTGAGGTTTTCTAAATGATTGTTTTCTCGACTGTCGTGGAACTTCATAAGGTCTTTGGGTTTTTGGCCGAGTCTTTCGGATTGCCTCAACTGAAAATGGCAGTATGTTGGCAATGTTTGAATACAAAATAGGCATATTTTTGGTACTGTGTATATTTAGTCAAATGTAAACTAATATAATCAAGTGAGATATGTCAGGAGTAAATTCAGTGCTAATTTAATTTTATTGTGGATGACGCTGTTCCATCTGCCTCACCTTCTGTGTCATGTTTGCTATTTCAAAGTCCATGACGCTTTCCAGGCTGAAAGGAAGTGTGATTCAAGTTGCTGTGAAGAAGATGAATCCCGCTGTGGGGAAGCTGGCCCGTACAGAGCTACACCTGCAGGAATGTCCCAACTGTCCAGCGTGTGACGTACTGGGGGGGGAGTCATGGGTGGTTCTATACGTCGATTAGGATTTTCTGCGCTTCTTTTCTCCTTTTTAGAGAGAAAACAATGAGATTGGGATTACGAAAGATTATTACTGACAAATATGGACATTGTATGCTTTTGAGAACTTAAATACAAAGGAAGTCACATTTTATGATAATTTCCTATATGTTTACTGCAGTCATTGGTTGGCATGTAGCTGCATGCGTTAATTAATGTAATTGACTTGCTGGCTGCTGCCAAAAGGGATCCTTTTTCTCTTCTACCCCACCATAATCTCTGTCCTTTGCTTAGAGCTGTGGGAATTGGGCAGCCGCAGGGTTGGTGCCCTGACTGTGTGGTCGCATCCAACGGAGGGACGAACGGACACCTTGTAGGGACAAGAGAGGGACTCCTCTGCACAGCAGGTCTCGGCTGGGTCGGAGTACATGCAGCGTAGAACCGCTCATTTTCAAACCATTGTCACAATAGCGTAAAGACGCCACACAACTGGAGGCTGTAATAGTGCAAGTTTTTCTCTTATTTTAGTAGAATCACACAGGACACTTGCACACTTGGTCTAAAAGATGTTCCAAATGCTCTGCCGTTTGTTTTTTAATAATGTTTTTTTGTATGTGCTGCAGTTCATTTTGTTCCTGTCATTGTTCTTTCACCTTCATTTAATTGCTTTGTAAAAGCTGCAGAAAGGGTAGCACGTTCTCCACTTCAGCTCTTCCTCTGTCTGTCTTTTGGGACAACTTTTCAGAAAAATCTTGTTGCTTGCAAACATTTGCAAAGAATAAAATTCAATTTGTTTCAAAACTGACTTTTTTTTTTTCTGATTGTTGGGATGGGAAGAAAGAAAATGCCTGGGTTTATGGGGCGTTTGAAACTGGTTAGCTTCAAAACATACTCTATAAGCTGTAATACATGAGAATTTTAAGCTGCATAAACCTCTGCTGAAACTTTGGGGTCCCCTCAAGCCTGTTAATTACACACCATCCTAACTTCATTACCCAGGGCAGTTTAGATCTACTGGTTACAGCCACGGGGCTGACAGCTCTCACAGGGCTGTCCTCCTGGGGTCCTAGCAGCACCACCAGGAATGCATCTCAGTAATCAGCTGGTTTATTTGTCAGTTTTCCTAGGAGAATGTTCTCTGGACGTATAAAAGAATCACTGAGATACAGTTTTAACTTAACTCATGCTGCCAAAATCTAATGTGCTGTTGGAGGGCTCAAGTATGAAATGTGCTCTGTCCTGCTTTGGGGCTCAAAACACTAGACACAATTGCATTTTTCCTATATGATTTTTTTTTTTTCAAACTGTCCTTCCTGGCCTTGTGGTCTATTTTCTCCTCTCCTGGGTGGTCATGGTATGTTTGGGAGCAGTGTCCAGTGCTGCTGTCCCAGAGGCGTTACGGGAAGGGATGATGGTAGTGCCTGTCTGTCCCCACCACAGTAGCTGTGCAGACCAGCATGGGAACGCACTGCCTGCAAGCAGCTCTCAGTTGACTTGGCAAAGAATTTAATTTTTGAGTAAACTCCCTCTTTTTCTTGGTTTTCCAATATTTTCAAATAAGCACACCAGGGGGCTTATGTGGTGCTGTTGATGCAGCATGTTTTCCTCATGGAGAATGCTTTGCTCTCACAGCAGCTGTGCAATGTGCAAGGAAGGGTAAGGTAAAAGATGAAAGAGGCAAGATCAAAGGTCAAAGAGGAGAGGTAAGGTCAAAGATGTAAGGCACGGTCAAAAGTAAAATGTCAAGGTCAAAAGTAAAATGTCAAAGGGGTAAGGTCAAAGGTCAACGTGGTATGGTAAGGTCAAAGGTCAAAGAAGTAAGGTCAAAGGTCAAAGACCAAAGAGGTAGGGTATGGTCAAAGGTCTAAGATCAAAGCAGCAAGGCAGGGTCAAAGGTCAAAGAGGAAAAGGAAACCAAGGCCGAAAGGGAAGTGGAAATGGAAGCGGAGGCTGAAAAGAAAACGGAAGCGGATAAGGAAACTGAGGTAGAAGATCAAAAGAAAGCAGAAAAGGAAACAAGTGAAGAATGTGGAATTTCACAAGTGATGTTTCACTTACTTTACTACAAAATTAAACCTCTCCTTTCAGAAATTACAAATTAGTAACAGGAAAAGCGTGCTGTCTGAAGATCTTAAATACAACAGACACTGTTGGCTACGAGTATAGTGACAAAATATTTACTGGTATTACTTAGAATAGGACATGAACAGTTCTCCACTATAATTCAATTTTACAACTTCTTCAGGCAACTTAATAGTTCTTCTTTATCCATGTGGTATCCACTCTTCTTCCATTCATCCCGTAACTGTTGTAATGCTGCTCCTATTTCTTTCCCAGAAGACACACCCATTTTTCTTAAATCATGACCACTAACAGGAAAAGAAGGAACAGTCCATTCCTGCATTTCTCTTAGAAGATTTTCTTCTCCTTGGTATTTTAGTAGCTCACAGATCTTGGAATTTGTATTAGCTTCCCTAGACTAAAAGGGAAAAAAAAAAAAAAAAAGAGAGAGGATTCACTATGGAATAATGGAAAACAGCTGAAAATGTGCTCAACATTGCATTATTCCCATGACACCTTATTAGGCAACATCTGGACAAGTTGCAACTACGAAAGCGAGGATCTCTTCTGCCTCACAAGTTTTAAAACTCAGTCCTAACTTGGAGGCACTGGGAGATCCTTGGGGACTTCTTGAATTCCAGGTAATAGCTGTGACCATTACCTTCAACTGGAGAGGAACCATTACCTTTCCTGCTGGAGACACGCCTCACTGCAGAGACTGCTGCCTCTCACCTCCAGTCTAGGCACTGCACCAGAAGTGCAGAACTTCACCTGAAAACTACTTGAACTTTGCTGCAGAAGGACATCAGCGGTTGCCTACTTAACAGTACTCCTCACAAAGAACACAAACCCATGCTCCACAAATTGCAACAGCTTTCAGTACAGGGTTCAAGATGGTTGATTTCACATAAACAGCTGGAGTCCCTCCAGGTCTCTGTCTGCCAGACAGTTCTCAATCCACCCCACTGTCCATTCATCTAACCTACACTTCCTAAGCTTGCCTGTGAGGATGATGTGGAAGACAGTGTCGAAAGCCTTGCCAAAGTCAAGGTAGACAACATCCACTGCCCTCCCCTCATCCATCCATCCAGTCACACCATCACAGGCAGCTATCAGATTTGTCAGACATGACTTCCCCTTGGTGAATCCATGTTGACTACTTCCAATAACCTTCTTTTCTTCCAGGTGCTTTGAGATGACACCCAGAACAAGCTGTTCCATCATCTTTCCAGGGACGGAGGAGAGGTGTAGCAGCTCCTCTACCTGGGCACCCGTGTCACAGGCGTGCTCACCGCTGCCATCCGGCACTGGCGTGAGAGCAGGGCACATCCCGCAGCTCAACGCCTGGCTGGCAACATGTTCGCACGAGAGCTCCATCTGCGAAGCAGCATCAGAGCTGCTGCGTGCACAGCTCATCGGGGCCATGGTTCTCTGCCGGGTAGATACCATGGCTACCTGACCCAGTTGGGAGATCTGCAGCGCCCTTCCGTCCAACCTGTCAGGCCCTGTTGGCCCGGTCCGTTCACCCACTCAGGGGGTCCGCCCTTCCGCGGTGCTCCCGGGTGCCGCCCCGGGTGCTGCCCTCTGGCCGCCCGCTTGCTGAGTCTCCTTCACACCTCCTTTAGAACTGCCGCCCCTGCCTGCTGGCCCTCCCCCAAGCTGTCGTTTCCGGCACAAACATGAGGACGAGCTACTTGCTTTCTCCGGCTTCAAAAAGCCCCAAAAGAGCCCCTTGCCGGCCCTTTTCGCCTCCGATCCCCTTCCCCAGTGCGGACTTAGCTGCACTGCAGCTGGTCTCCTCGGCAAGTCTTGCAGAGACATGCCAGGACACTGGCAGTAGCTCTTGTTAATTTCTGGTCCCCTCTCCAGAGTAAAACTAAACAAGTCAACCCCACCTTAATTAACTGTAACCGGTATCAATAATACAGAGATATATTCTTCCAGTTACTGTGACAATGTTACACTGGAAGCAATCCAAATGCGGTTAATACTTTTTGTCAGTACATCCCATCTCTCTGACGCAAATATCATGGTCTTTCAAACCCCGGCAAAAATTTACCTGAGACCAATAAACAAGCCAGCCAAAGAAACGGCTCTTACTTGACTCTTTAAAGCCCTCCCTTTCATCGTGGCTACTCTGTAAGACTGGAAATTTAGAGTTTACTGTGAAGAATACAATAAAGCAATATAAAATACACTTACATCCATTATGAAGTCCTGATATGGTCGAAGTGGTTCTGGACCCATAGTTTTTGTTAACTCTTGCCTGTGCTTCACTAAAAAAAGGCCAAGATTTTTTTCTTCTTTTGAGATTTTCAGCCTCAGGTCAAGGTTTGTGACATCATCCTTCACCTTGAACAATGATGTCAGAACAGTCATCGGTTTTGGACTCAGATTTTGAATATTTTTAGTGACTCTGTCAAATTCCTCTAAACTTCCATCAAGTGGTAGTCCTAAAGGGAGAAACACAAAAAAAATGCAAGAAAGAATGTTAATAAGAAACATGGACATTAACACAGAAAAAATAAAAATTATCTAATTTCTTTCTGCGTAAAACCAAGTTTTATCGCACTTTGCCATGTTGCAGTTGTGTTTGTATACGATATAGAAGCAGGAAATCAATCTTCATTTCACTTTACCTATGTATTGGGCAATATCCAGCTCATACATAAGTCGAACCAAATGATTTACATGGTTTCCAAGAAGAATTTTTTTCAGTTCCACCCAAATCCTTTCTCCCGATATTCCAGCCAAACCTTTGGCATTTTCTTTAATTGCTTGCAGTGTACTAGGTTCATGATCACCAGGTTTTTCTGCAATTCTTCCATAAAACCTGCCCAAATAAAACCTCTGTATGTTAGATTGAGAACAATTATTCCATTCATTACTGCTATTCAATCAATTAATGCTATGACAGTGTTAAATATTCCAATTCATAACACTAGAGGAAACTTAACAATATGACAATTACAATTCTTGACATCATTGATCTCTTCTTGCACGTTTCTGAAGTCTTCTACAATGCTTAATTCATTTCTTTATCTAGGAAAGGCAAAACCTAGTACCTGAAATATCTTAGGATGCGTAAATAATCTTCTTGTATTCTCTCACTTGCCTTTCCTACAAATCTGATTTTCTTGTTTTTCAAATCTTCATATCCATTAAAAAAATCATAGAGCATCCCATCCAAACCTAGAAAAAGAAGAAACACATAAAAGAATATGAATTTACAAACATGGTTGGCACAATTAGACACTCTCATTTGAAAATACAGAAGACAAGTTGTGTGATTTGACCTGGTTTGTCAGATCATCTCACATATTTGTACACACCTTTCAGCTGATAGCAGTACAAACAAACAAAATAGAAACAGACTGAGAGAATTCACTGGCTTATTTTGAAAAGCAGTGTCTCATCTAAGTATTTGCTTTTGAAAGAATTTACCTAAAAACATGGAATTGACAGTCAGATCCCTCCTTTCAGCATCCTTTTCCCAGTCAGTGGTGAATTCCACCTCTGCATGTCGTCCATCGGTGACAACATCTATTCTAAGAGTAGTAATTTCAAAATTCTGTTCATGGAGCTGAAAATCCCACAGACATTGTTACTTCAACACAATTGTTCATATAAATGTAAAAGCTATATAGTGTTTCAGTCTCATGTTTGTCTGCATGTACCCAGTTTGAACACTAACTGTATAAAACCATGTACTGTGTTTTCACACAGAGCAGACAATCAAGAAATACAAACACCTGAAAATAATCCTTGCATTATTCATTGTCTACATAGTCTGCAGAAATCTTCCTACAGAAGATGGAATGAGCAAGGTAGAGGAAGCAAAACTTGGGAAATCAGGAGCGGGAAACATCAGGATCAGCTTCCCTGCATTATCTGAACATGTGGGCAGCCTTTCTTTTCTAGTGATGACACAGCAGCACGAATGGGTTATGCAAAGGTTAACGCTCATTAAAATATGGTAATTGACTGAATTCTGCAAACAAAGAGTAATCAAAAAAAAAAATCACTCCATCCTTCAAAGCAGGGTCTCATTTAAACTCTTACTGTGATACTTTAACAAAGAAGGAGCACGCTACCAGTTTTCTATTGGATATTCACAGATACAGTTATAAAAGATACAAGTCAAATCATAAACCAACCCTGGCAGTAATGGTTCCATGTTTTTCTCCTTTGTTATTGATCAGGCGAACACCAGCAGATGTGAACATTTCCTTCATCTCTGCTGGTGTAGCTGTAGTGGCAAAATCTATATCTTGCGGTGTCATTCCACTCAGCAAATCCCTCACAGCACCTCCTGCTATTCTCAGCTCATAGTTCTTCTTCTCAAACAATTCTGGGAAGGAAACGAAAACCATAAATCACTCTCTAAAATAAGAACCATGGCACACGCTCAGCCATAACTTACCTTTTCACAGACTAAGTTCATAGATGGTATCTACTCTATTAAAGTATAGATATGTACCTATGTATGCATACTTTACGTATCTATGAAGATACATACCCTAATATGCAGTAAGCAGCAAGTATGCAGGTACAAAACACACAAATTAGGTACACAGCTGAGCACCCACACGTATTATCCCAATCATTTCTGATACATTTTTCTGGGGCATTTCTGATAACCTAAATATTAACAGGTTCCTAACTGAGGCTGGGAGACTCCGGGCTGTGGAACATTTTTAGCAGTTCGCTGCCACCCAGGGAGAAGCGCTTGGTTTACTTCTGGCAAAGCACAGTGAACTGTGAATCCAAATTTCTTCAGGAGCAATAAATGCCCCACGACAGCTGATGAACACCGCGCTCCGCCACGTCCACCGAGCCATCGTAAAGCGGCCAGAGCTGAAGAGCACCACGCACCTCCCAGAGCGCG